AATGCGAGCCGAAGCCGTATTTGATGGCCCAAATTGGGGGGGTGGGTACTGATATATGAATCCCATCCGCATGGATGATATATGCTACGTTTCCGTGACAGAAATTGGCAGACGCACTTTGTGATTAATGATAAAAATGGTATTCTGATGATGTGAACCTGTAAATGGTGCATTTTCTCGTTACACTGAATAATGCGTGTTCATATTGTGAAAATCAGTGTCCGTACTTGGCGAGATAACAAGCCTTGCATTTGTTTTATGATATCTTTTAGTCTCTATGTCTAAAAGTAATTGTGTGTCACCGATTTGTCTTGTGCCAACTTTAACCACTTATTTTTGACAATGTTCAGTCCCTATTTTGTGGTGTGCCGACGCCTTGATCTCTGCTGACTCACAGTGTGACTGTGGTGGAAAATCCTCTCGTAAAACGCCTTCTTATGCTTGGGTTCGCACGCCATTACATACATTCAGCGTCGCTTGCAATTCCTCCTCTCTAACACAGACCCAATCTCCCTTGAACTTCTTGACAATTCTCGGGATCCCCGCCAGTCCTTTCGGCAATCATTTCATTCTCGGCTCTTTTATCTTCTCGTCAAGTCCTAGAAACTTCTACGTCTCCTCAATTATCCTTCTCTTCTCTTGCTTTCCCTTACTCGTTCTCTCTTTTTTATACTTTGAGAAGCGTTGAGAACGAGAATCAATACAGATTTCGTAACTTTTCTCTTCGGGTGAAGGGTATAGCTTATCGCACAGACACACGCAGCGAATGAGTGGGCGCGAGTTTTCCGTTTATGTAATTCCGTAGTTATAAATATACCGGTAATATCATATATCTTATATTTAGTTACCTTTATATTCTTGTTTTTTGTATGCGATTCCTTATCAAGCGACTGCACCATGCTTATAGGATACCCAAAGTCGCCTGAGGCTGCTCCCATCCGTGCGTTATCTGCTCTTTTTTCTTCTTTTTCCCTCTACTTAAACTCGCGTAACACTCGGCGCCCGAAGGTCAGCTTTTCCCCTTTCCCTCCCCGCCCTCCTCCCTCCACACACGCACGAAACGGCGTTTTGCATTCGTAGACATTATTGCGGATCGGAAAGATGCCGAGCATAGGCAGGGAGCAGTCGACCATGTCGCCTTCATTACCCCACAACCCCCACCCGCCGCCACCCCGCCCGTCCAGATCCGACCCAGCCTCGCGCCCAAGATCAAGTGTGTTCGGCCGCCCACGACGCCGACGCAGCGAATTCGGTGCTCGCTCAAGGAGGCGATCGCGGTGCTGCCCTTCTTTCGCCCATAGATGGACGAATATGAACGTACAATGTGTGTGTGTGTGTGTGTGTGTGTGTGTGTGTGTGTGTGTGTGTGTGTGTGTGTGTGTGTGTATATATATATTTATATACATAATAAATAAATATATATATATATATATATATATATATATATATATATATATATATATATATATATATATATATATATATATATATATATATATATATACTGAAATAACAGTGTGTGTGTTGTATTAGGTTCAGCATTCACAGATTACATATTTCATATCTGTCTGCGTAAAGATGCGACATTTTTCCGATATACGACACAATCAATGTTACTCTTTTGGACTGAGTTATGCGTTTCTTTCCACCATGAACTGTTCTTAGTTTACAGCGCAAACGATCCCTCGCTCGCATCTTAAAGGGAAATCCATACATCTTTCTCAAAGACTCCAGATTCAATGTGCCTCCAGGTCTCCACAAAGTCTAGCGTTTTGGTGGATGGAAAACGGACGTCTTATTTACCTCACTCTCTTTGCTTCCATCTCTGGCGCCGCCCACACGCAAACATGAAAAAGAGAAATCAGGTCGACCTCCTAATTACTCAAGAGCAGGTCTTGAAGGCGAATGCGCTAAAAATATCCTGCGTGGACACCCCAGGCCATAGCAAAATATCTCGTACTTCAGATTTTTTTTTGAGGTACGGCAGGATCTTTTATGTTATGTGGAATGGGTTTCCGTGTGTTAATTTTTTCTATCGGGGGAATTTGTTTTTCATATTATTTTAAACTAAAATTTTAGATAAGAAACGTTGGTCTTTAAAGAATCTAGAATTAAGTGAATTAAAATTCAACCTTCTTGATTAAACCTTTTTTCCGAAAGAAATATTCGTGGAATGTTTTCGCATTTGCATAAGCAGGCGTGTTTCTTACATAATTTCGCTCGTCATTAAATTTGCACTATTCATTTCACTGTCTTTGGTACTTGCACAAAGTATAACAATAGAGCTAATAGTAGATAAAGACTTGTTTGGTGGCGAAAAGATGTGCAATTTGTTTCGGTTTCAATTGTTTAGACACAGACAGGAATTTGCTCACCCGTTTAATCTTAAAGCCCGACGTATAACTCGACAGAAAGCTCACGTACAGGAATAATGATGATTGGCTAGTCGTTCCGCCCTTTCACCGTCAAACACTGCAGTTTCTCACGAACAGATAACATT